TCTGCCTCCCAAGTGCTGGGATTAAAGGCGTGCGCCACCACCGCCCGGCCTTTTTTTTTTTTTAAAGTGTGTGTGTGTGTGTGTGTGTGTGTGTGTGTGTGTACACAAATGTGAGGAATCAGTCCCTTCCTTCCACTGTGGGTTCTTGACAACAAACTCGGGTTGTCAAGTGTGGTAGTTTGAATGTCATTGGCCCCCATAATTTCATAGGGAGTGGCACTATTAGGAGGTGTGGCTTTCTTGGAGTGGGTGTGGCCTTGTTGGAGGAAGTGTGTCACTGTTGGGGGCGGGTTTTGAGGTCTCCTATGCTTAGGATAGCGCCCAGTGAGTCAGTTGACTTCCTGCTGCCTGCAAGATGTAGGGCTCTCAGCTACCACATCTGCCTGCACACCGCCATGCTCCCCGTCCTGATGATAATGGACTAAACTTCTGAAAATGTAAGCCGGCCACCCCAATTAAATGTTTTCTTAGTAAGAGTTGCCGTGGTCATGGTGTCTCTTCACAGCAATAGAAACCCTAGGACATCACATTCGCACAGCAAGTGCTGTTATCCAGAGTCGTCCCCCGCCTCTCCTTTAAACTTAATGGTATTTTTATCTTTGTGTGTGTGTGTGTGTGTGTGTGTGTGTGTGTAGCATAATGTACCAGGACAGCCTCAGCTGTTAGCTCTTCCCTTCTGCCTTGTATGAGACTTCTGCCACCATGTACTGTGCCAGCTGGCCCCAAGCTTGAAGGGATTCTCCTGCCCACTCACATCTCCTTGGAGCACTGGGGTTACAGATGTTCACTGCAGCTTTATGTCGATTCTGGGGATTCGAACTAGGCCCTCATTGCTTGTCCAGCATTCCACCCCTCTTGATTCCTTTTAATGGCCGAATAATATTCCAACATATGAATTACTATATTTTATCATTCCATTCCTAAGTTGGACGGACATTTGAATTGATTCTAGCCTTAGGATTTATGAATAATTCTGTTATGAACATTTCTGGTCTTGTTTTTTGGCTTGGAGCAGAGCTTTGCAATGCATTTCTGGCTGGCTTAGAACTTGCAGTGTTGACCAGGCTGGCATTGAGCTCATAGAAACCTGCCTGCCTTGGCCTCCTATGCTGGAATTAAAGGCATGTGCAGTACAGTTCTTCTGTGGACACAGGTTTCCATTATCTAGTTGTGTATGTGGTCACATGGTAAACTTAACTGTAGAGGCATTGCATGTAAAATTTCTACCAGCAGTGTGTGAGTTTCAGTTTCTGTCTGTGTCGGCTCTTGTTGCTCTTTCTGTTATAATAGGCATGTGGTGGTTTTTGCTTGTTTTTGAGGTCCAGTCCCTATTGTTGTGATGAGGAGATCTTTCTGTGTGCTTATTGGCTGTTTTGAGCTTTTCTCTGGAGAGACTCCTGTGCCTGGTTTTTCTTTTTATGCCATAAGAGTTGTTTATCTACTCGGGTGCAAGTTCCTTTTATGACACATGATTTGTGAGAGGGTTTGGGGGTTAAAGCATACGGGGGGGGGGGATTTTTTTGGGCTTGCTGGTACTCACAGCACAGTCTACAATGTCTATGTAGAGTCCAATTTGCCTGTCTTTGTGGTGTTTCAATAGAATTGATTGTCTTCAAACCCTCTCCTGACCTGCTGGGATTTCATTCCTAGAGAAGAGACTTTTTCTGATTTTATTTTTTTATTTTTTTGGAAGACGTTCAGTCACTTTGTCACATATAAATAAACTTATATGTTGATCCGGTCAGAGCTGCTGTGTAAGGAGTTCTTCCCATGAAATTCTATGAGGAAAATGTCCCTGTGAGAGCATGCTGTCTGGGAGAGTGGTTGTCAGCTGGGATCATTTGACTGTAGAGACGGTCTCAGTGGCCAGGGTACTAGTGTTTAGTGGGCGGAAGCCAGGGTGCTGTTGAACCAGCTGCAGTGTGCTGGAAGACCCCAATATTGAAGGCTTATTTCTTCTGTTCTTGTCCTGATCACTAATTAAATAAAAGGAGAAACTCTGCAGGCTGTGAACAGCAACAGAACTTGCAGATTGAATTGTGGAACATTCTTTTGAATTCTCAGTGTTGCCAGTTTGTATGTAAACTATCCTGCCATGATGCTTACTATTTGGAGGAGAAATACCAGTTGGACTAGGAACAGATTGTTCCCTCCACCTCAGCCTCCTAGGCACCCTGAGACACACATCTTGTCACACAAACACAGTGGGCTGGCTCATTTAGCTAGACATTGAGATGGTCTTCTGAGAGAATGCGACAATAGGACTGTAAAGGTCAAAGTTAAGAACTCACCCCCTGTTGACTTCCAGTCTTTAGCTCGCTCCTGTCACTTACGGAACTAGCTTTGTTTTCCTTGGAAGCCGCTTGTTTTTAAGGTAACATTTTTCTGCTGTCATGCTGGAGATGGAACCCAAGGCCTCCTGCATGCACAGGGTATTGCTGCTGAGCCATACCCCAGCTGTGCTTAAGACTTCTGAAGCTGGGGGCTGGAGAGCTGGCTCAGCTGTTAAGAGTATGTGCTGCTTTTTGGGGATCTGAGATTGGTTCCCAACATTCATGCCAAGCACTCCAGCTCTAGGGGATCTGACACCCTTTTGGCCCCTGTGGGCACCTCTGTCATGTCCACAAATGCACACACAGACACAAATATACACATAATTCAAAATAAAAGTAAAATATTTAAAAAAGATTCCTTGCCGTGTGGTGGTGGCGCAATCCTTTAATCCCAGCACTCGGGAGGCAGAGGCAGGCGGATCTATGTGAGTTCCAGGCCAGCCTGGGCTACAGAGTGAGCTCTAGGAAAGGTGTCAAAGCTACACAGAGAAACCCTGTCTCGAAAAACCAAAAAAAAAAAAAAAAAAAAAAAAAAAGATTTCTTAAGGGAGCTGGCCATAGTGGTCCATAGCTTAACTCCAGTACTTGGCTGGCTGAGGCAGGAGAACTGTGAGTTGAAGGCCAGCCGAGGCCACACAGGTGACACCGTCAATCAGAACCTAAGTAGCATAGCACATGTAAGAATGTGGACCCCGGTTCCGATCGCCTAGGCTTTTCTTTCTTTCTTTTTTCTTTTTTCTTTTATTTTATTTTACAATACCATTCAGTTCTACATATCATCCACGGGTTCCCCTATTCTCCCCCCTCCCACCCCCTCCCCTTACCCCCAGCGCACACCCCCATTCCCACCTCCTCCAGGGCAAATCCTCCCCCGAGGACTGCAATCAACCTGGTAGACTCAGTCCAGGCAGGTCCAGTCCCTTCCTCCCAGACTGAGCCAAGTGTCCCTGCATAAGCTCCAGGGCTTTTCTTAGAGTTAGCATTCGATACTTAGCCCTCTGTTAATCTTCTGAGAGGTGAAGTGGTGGTGTTAGGAGTAGTGTATATCCTGCAGGAGTGTGCAGGCAGAGGCAGGCGGATCTCTGTGAGTTCGAGGCCAGCCTGGGTGGTGGTGTTAGGAGTAGTGTGTATCCTGCAGGAGTGTGCAGGACACTCAGACACTTAGCAGCGGTGCTTGCCGGCAGCAAGTGACTGACTCACCTGTCCGTATGCTCTTTCAGCCCCTTGCTATGGACAGTGCCATCACTCTGTGGCAGTTCCTTCTTCAGCTCCTTCAGGAGCCTCAGAATGAGCACATGATCTGCTGGACGTCTAACAATGGCGAGTTCAAGCTTCTGCAGGCCGAGGAGGTGGCGCGTCTCTGGGGCATTCGCAAGAACAAGCCTAATATGAATTACGACAAGCTCAGCAGAGCCCTGAGATACTACTATGTAAAGGTAAATACCTTCCCTGACCCTGACGCTCTACAGAGACCCTCAAAACAAGAATTCACCCTTTGTCTCTGTTGAGACGCTGAGTACGAATGTGGTTTACTTAGTCCAATTTACATAGGATGAAATTTTTGTGTGTGCATGAATGTACGTGGTGTTCCCATGTGTGAAGGTACGCGTGCACCTGTGTGTGCGTGTATGTATGTGTGCGTGGGGGCTAAAAGTCAACAACAGGCGGTGTTCTCAGTTGCTTTGGGTTTTTTGTCGGGGGTTGTTTTTTTGAGACGAGGTCTCTCACTGAACCTGGATCTCGCTGATTTGTCTAGACTGGCTAGCAGGCCCCAGGGATCCCCCTGTCTCTGCCACCCAGCACTGGTAGGTGCTCCATAGCTGGCTTTTTTACGTGGGTGCAGGGCAGCAGACTCTGGTCACCACACTCACACTACCAGCACTTTACCAACTGAGCCGTCTCCACAGTTCCTTAGTACCTTAAAGAAGAGCTACTGCCAGCCTGCTGGCGTGGTGGTGGCGCACACCTTTAATCCCAGCACTCGGGAGGCAGAGGCAGGCGGACCTCTGTGAGTTCGAGGCCAGCCTGGTTTATGAGTTCCAGGACAGCCAGGGCTACACAGAGAATGAGAAAAAAAAAAAAAAAAGAATAGCTATTGCTCCAGGTATGGTGGCTCACCTGTGACTTAGCACATGAGAGGCTGAAGCAAGAGGATTACCATGGATTCTAGATCAGCAAGAGAAGCTATTTAAAATAGAGTTGATTTCTTAGTTTCAATTACACTTGAAATTTTTAAAGTTTATTTTATGTGTGTGTGAGGGAGAGAGGGGGCCATAGCATATCTGTGGAGGTCAAGGACAAGGTTTTTTGGGTTTTTTTAAAAAGATTTATTTTATATGTATGAGTGTGTTGCCTGTGTGCATGTCTGTGTACCACTTGTGTGCCTGGTACCTGAGGAGGCCAGAGCCTGCCTATTTACTTACTTACCTGCCTGCCTGCCTGTCTATTTATTTAGAGGCAGGGTCTCTAGCCCTGGCTGTCCTGGATATCTCTAAACCAGGCTGGCCTCGAACTCACAGAGATCCACCTGCCTCTGCCTCCTGAGTGCTGGGACTAAAGGCGTGCGCCACCTCGTATCACCGCACCCAGCTTTAGCTGTCTCCTCGGTCTTCCCAGAGGATAAGCTTTGAGGGTCTGTTCTCCCTTTCTGTGGTACTTGTTGAAACAGAATCTCTTGTTTCTGCTGCTGAGCTGCATGTTCCAGGCTCTCTGGCCTGCAAGTTTCCTGGCAGTTCTGTCCATGCTCCCTGTCTCTGTAGGAATGCTGGGATTGCATGGCTATAACTACCCCATCAGCTTTTTACAGTCTGGGGGCCAGGCTGGGGGCACGGGCTTGCATAGATAATAAATACCCTGCCCTGCCAAGCCATCTCCTCAACCCGCCCCCCCCCCCAAAAAAAAATTTTTTTTTTTTTGAGACAGGGTTTCTCTGTGTAGCTTTGTGAACTTTCCTGGAACTCGCTCGCTTTGTAGACCAGGCTGGCCTCGAACTCACAGAGATCTGCCTGGCTCTGCCTCCCGAGTGCTGGGATTAAAGGCGTGTGTGTGCCACCAAATTTATGTATGAGTGCTCTGCATGTATACTTGTAGGCCAGAAAAGGGCATCAGATCCTATTATAGGTGGTTGTGAGCCACCATATGGTTGCTGGGAATTGAACTTGGGACCTCTGGAAGAACAGCCAGTGCCCTTAACCACTGAGCCATCTCTCCAGCCCAAAATTATAGCTTCTAATACCTTGTGACTTTAGAATATTTTCTTGGGCACTGGAGAAAAACACGCACCTCTGAAGAATAGACTTAGCGTCAGAGTCTGAGCTGTCTTCCTCCACCTTTCAGTGGTTGACCTTCCCAGCTGAAGAAGGGAGCTCACAGCTGTCACGTGCTGAGACCCCTTAGCGTCCTCAGATGCTTATGGCTCACACCACTGGGACTGTCTGGAGACTGGAGTTCAGCCAGTTCTGACTTAGTACAGGTGTCGATGGAGAGGGTCGGACAGGCCCAGCCTCGGCTCCTTCCTATGTGCTGTCTTATCTTAGTCCAGTTGCGGAGGAGGCCTTGAACTGCTTTAGCAGGGACTGTGTTTGACCTGGGGAGAAGAGTGTAGATGCTTTTGAAGCTTTTTTAAAAGCTATGCCTAGTTCTCAAATTGAGCGCTTCACTGGGTTCCCTTTTGCATGAACTATGAGATGTAAATTTATAAGAAAGTTTAAGAATGCTTGTCTTCTCTGTCTGCAGAACATCATTAAAAAAGTGAATGGTCAGAAGTTTGTGTACAAGTTTGTCTCTTACCCAGAGATTTTGAAAATGGATCCTCTGACGGTAGGCAGGATCGAGGGAGACTGTGAAACTCTAAATTCCATTGAAGCCAGCGGTTCCAAAGATGCGGAGAGCGGGGCAAAGGAGCGGGCGCCCCAGCCTGCAGCCAAGACATCTAGTCGCAACGACTACATACACTCTGGTTTGTATTCTTCATTTACTCTGAACTCTCTGAACACCTCCAATAAGAAGCTTTTCAAGTCAATAAAGATAGAGAATCCAGCTGAAAAACTGGCGGAGAAAAAAACCCAGGAGCCAGTACCATCTGTCATCAAATTTGTAACAACACCTGCCAAAAAGCCACCCATTGAACCTGTTGCCGTTACCTTTTCCACAAGCCCGAGTATCTCTCCGTCTTCTGAAGAAACCATCCAAGCTTTGGAGACACTGGTTTCTCCCACACTACCCTCTCTGGAAGCCTCGGCCTCTGCATCCATTCTGGCTACTGCCTTTAACCCCGCCTCTCCAGTCCCCCCGGCACCCCTCCCTCCAAAGGAGCCTCCTAGGACGCCTTCTCCACCGTTGAGTTCAAACCCAGACATTGACACAGACATTGACTCTGTGGCTTCTCAGCCAATGGAACTTCCAGAGAACTTGTCACTGGAGCCTAAAAATGAGGATTCAGCTTTGCCAGAAAAGGACAAAACAAATAACTCATCAAGGTCCAAGAAGCCCAAAGGGTTAGAACTGACGCCCGCCGTTGTGGTCACAGGCAGTGACCCCAGCCCCCTGGGGATCTTAAGCCCATCTCTCCCAACAGCGTCTCTTACACCAGCACTTTTTTCACAGGTAGCTTGCTCTCTTCCTCTCAAGTGTGAATGCATTTATTCATCTTTTAAACTGTATCTAGAGCTTATACCTGCAAACTTAAATATCTGCTAATTAGGGCTGTCTTAGAAAGGTTATGTGTAAACCTGTGAGACTCATTTCCTTACCTTAACTAGAATCTGCAAAACAAAAGCGATTTGACATTTCATCTTTTAAAATTCATTGTTCTTGGACTGAGGATGTGGCTCAGATGTTAGAGTGCTTGCCTAGCATGCACAAATCCCTGGGTTCCATCCCCAGCGTTGAGTAAACCAGGCATGGGGCCGCATACCTGGAATCCCAGTGCTCAGGTGGTAGAGGTGGGAAGATCAGAAGTTGAAGGTCATCCTCGGCTACAGAGCCAGTTTGAGACCAGCCTGGGCTACATGAGACCCTCTCTAAGTAAAGCAGAAGTCATTGATTTGCAGGGTTTTCTACCTCCTCCTAAAGAAAGCAACTTCAGAGACTCCCTTAAAACTGTTGCCGTCTTAGGAAAGAGAAAACACAAGTGACTGGGAGCCTTGAGAGAAGGACTGGTGTGGGCGTGTAGTCAGCTTACCTATACATTGTTATCTTGCTCCCCTTGGAGAACTTTTGAATAAGATCACCCCAGATGGTCTGAGATTATAGGTTCTCAGCTGTTGCCCTTTGTACCCAAATTTAGGTTTGCTTTTTTCTAGTTTGCAAAGACCCTATAAAAGTTAGGTTCTAAAGTGATTGTGGTGACCGTTGTCTTTCCTAGGTTAGGAAGTGACTTCTGAGCTTTTCATCATGAGAACGTTTCGGGCTTAGAGGTGTCTGGGGAGGAGAAGAGCATAGTGTGTGGATTCTGTTTGTGTCTTTGGAATGCTGGGGCACAGTCCTGGCAAGCCCTGAGCCCTCTTCTTGTGTATTGCAGACGCCCATCTTGCTGACTCCGAGTCCCTTGCTCTCCAGCATCCACTTTTGGAGTACTCTCAGCCCGTTTGCCCCCCTGAGCCCAGCCAGACTGCAAGGTGCTAATACGCTTTTCCAGGTAAACCACCCCGGGTGCCTCCTGTGATCGGGGACCGTTCACTGCGGAAGTGGGCAGAGGTGGTGTCCCACTGCTCCGTGTCATCGTCACACACCACTGCGGAGCACTGGTTGCCTTTCCTTGTGATGCAGTGTGTGCCTGGGGGCGGTGGCTCTCGGTTGCTGCCCAGCCTAGCAAGAGACTTTCCTAGTGCAAATTGCCAGCCCGGGAAAAGACTGGTGTTCAAGGCACAGTTCCTGTTGAATGCATACGGTATTTTTTTTGTGCTGTGTTAAGTTAAACCACTGTAAGTCAGACAGTTTGTGTACATATACTAATGTGTGTACACACAGCCATGATGAGGATACATTTAATGCATTTCAATCAGAATTACATACCTACACACATACACAACCTAGTGTCCTTGCTTACACCCCTTCTGTTCCCTTTGGAATCTTTTTCCTCCCTCTTCACAGCACTTCCTCCCCCTGTGTTCATGTCTGTCTGTCTTTTTTTTTTTTTTTGGTTAGGGTTACTTGTCTATGCATGAGTAGATACGGGCTTATTTACTGGATCTGGGGCCACACCCCTGAAGAAAATGAGTCCTCCTCAGTCAGCAGCTCCTGACTACAGCTCCTCAGCTAGGACAGGCCTCAGGCGCTCCTCCTCTCGCCTTGCTGGAATGTTGACTTGCTTGATTTTGCTTGATCTTAAGTAACCCCAGCTGCTCTGAGTTGAGGAGTACAACACCGTGTCATATTGGGAAGACAGGATCACAGCACTGTTCCCCATCCTCTGGCTCCTAAATTCTCTGCCCCTCTTCCACAGTGTTCCCTGAGTCTTGGGGGGTGTGCGTGCGTGCGTACTATAGACGTCCCATGTATGGCTGAGCTCGCCACAGACCCTTGTTCGCTGCACTTTGACCCGTGTGAATCCCAATATTAACCATCATTTACTGCAAAAAGGAGCCTCTTTGGAGCCGGAGAAGCGGCTCAGCGGTTAAAAGTGTGCACTGCCCTTGCAGAGGACCAGAGTTCAGTTCCCAGCACCCTTTTTGGACACCTGAACTCACATGTACAAACCCACATAATTTTTTTTTTTAAAGCTTCCCTGTTGAGAGTTGAGAGCTGCATTCCTCTCTTGGGATAAAGGTTATATTTAGAAGGCTACTGGACAACATGTCCATTTAGTAAAACAGTAATGCTGGGTCCCTTAAGACCTATGAGCACCCCAGCTGTGGCCTTTGACCAGGTTTACAGTGCTAGGCATGGACTTGCACCCATGGGGTTGGCTGTCAGTCTAATCAAAAGTGGTTGGTTCCTCCCGTAATATTGATGTCGTACCATTGGTGGCTACAGGTTGCCTGGCAGGTCAGTATTCAGCGTGTGCGATCCACTGCCAGGTCATAGTACTGGTGGCTTTTCTCTTCCAGGGCCGTGTTCCAGCACTGTGAAAGCTAGCCATCAGGGAGGAAGTTTCTAGGTCAGTTCCAGCTTGATTTCTCTGACCTGCAACCAGAGTGTGAGGTGTCTCTAGCAAAAGGTCTTAGCAACTGCTGGCGACCAAGAGCAGTAGCAACAGTCTGCAGTGTCTTGAGGGCCTCTGAGGACTCCCCGATACTCATAAGGAAGTATCCCAGACTTGGCCCTGGAATTTGTTTAATAGCCCATGACTTCTGGGAACAACATTATTCACTCATGCAAGGTATCTTCATTCAAACTACTTTTTAAAAAAAAACCACATTCTTTAGTTAGCTTACAAAGTAGATTTCCATTAAGGATTTTAAAATACTTAGCTTTGGTTAGTCTCCCTCTCCCTTCTTTCCCCCCTCCTTCCTTCCCACTCCTGTTCCTGCTTAGGCTTTTCCGTTCTCAGTGCCCCTCCCCCATAGCACAGGAGTTCTACTTTGATGGGGACATGTTTTGAGAAGGGAATCATGCGGTGATTTCTGTCCCGTGCCGTCATGTTGTACTTATATAAGCCTACTATGCTGTACGTGCGTGTGAGGTGCAAGATGAGAAATGATTCTGTGCAGCACATCCTAGCACTCAGGAGGCTGAGATCTGTCTGGATCTCTGAGTTCAAGGCCACACTGGACTACAAGAGATTGATCCAGTCCAGGAGAGAAACAGGCAGGCAGTGGTGGCACACACCATTAACCCCAGTATTAGGGCAGCACACACGCCATTAATCCCAGCACTAGGAAGGTTGAGACAGGAAGTGAAATGGCTGGGCAGAGAAAGGCATATGAGGCCTGAGGAGACAGGAGCTAGGCCTTTCAGCTGAGGACTCAGAGGCATTCAGTCTGAGGGTTTGAGCAGTTGGCGAGTGAGAAGTGGCTGTGGCTTGTTCCCTCTGATCTTTTGGCTTTACCCAATATCTGGCTCCGGTGGTTATTATAAGACCATTTAGGATTCATGCAGCGTGGAGATGGCACCTCACATCTGTAACCCCAGCTCTTGGGAGACTGGGGAGGAGAATGACAGTGAGTTTGAGCTACACGGTTGCAGGCCCGCCTAAGTTACAGTGTGACCCTGTCTAAACACAGAGTGGCCACGGAGATGAGTGTCTAAGGCTGCTCGTGGTAGGAGGACAGCAAAGTAATAATGGCGCATGGCAAATACATGAGCCAGTGGCGTTCTCCTTCCTGAGTGTAGGGCACTGTTCACAACTCTGTGCTGCACTTGCACTTTCCTACGAGTACACCACGGGAGATTGTGGACATGAACACCTGGGGAGTGTGTGGCACTAAGACTTTAGGATAGCTGTAATGTTACAAGTTGATAGACAGTTTCAGCGTCATAATCTTACAGGACCCGGGACAGAGATGCGTACTGCCTGACTCTGGTGCACACGTGCTAGGGGGCAGAGTCTGCCCATAGGTTTTCTCTCTTTAAAATTTAATTGTTTGTTTGTAGTTTCCCGCTTTTAATTACATTTTTTAAAACTTCCTTTTAAAATTTTTAAATGATTTATTTATTTTTATTTTATGTGCATTGGTGTTTTGCCTGCATGTATGTCTGTGAGTGTTGGATCCTCTGGAACTGGAGTTACAGACAGTTGTGAGCTGCCATTTGGGTGATAGGAATTGAACCTGGGTCCTCTGGAAGAGCAGCCAGTGTTTTTAACTGCTGAGCCATCTCTCCAGCCTTTTTTTTAAAGAGGAAAGTCTTGAGAATGTTGTATCAGTTACCTCTCAAAATTGATACATATCAGCATTTTTTTTGCTGAGCCCTCTTGCCAGCCTCTATCAGCATTTTAAATACAAAGTTTAGGAAATGAATTTTGTATCATCTCCCCACCAAGATATTAGGTAAGGTCTTATATTAAGGTTTCAATCACTCTTACCACTCCATTCCCCGCCCCCCCCCCGGGGAGAACCACTCTTCACATACAAAAAAGTAAAAATGAAATATGGAAAAACTTAACGCCCTTCTCATTCAGTAACATTGAATAATCTGATGTCACCTCTATCCTGCCCCAGGCATTTAGACTATAAACTGCAGGTATTCTTCCAGCTGGTTTATTTGCTTGTTCTGCGGTGACTGGCCCTGGGGAATTTTCTTACATTTTATAATTTAATCATCTATTCTTTCAAAAATAAAATAAGGCTAAGTCTGCTGCTACCTGCCTGTAATCCCAGTTACTCCAAAGGCAGACAGTTCAAGACCAGCCTGGGCAAATTTGTGAGACTTTATCTCACACTCTATAAAAGAAGGATGTGGACATATAGCTCAGTGATAGAGTCCTTGCCCGGCACATGTAGGGTCTTGGATGCAGTCCCTAGTACTGCAAAAAATAAAAATAAGGAAAGGAGAGCTGGGCGTGATGGCACAAACCTGTGGTCCCAGCACTTGAGAGGGCTTTAGAGAGTGGATGCTGAACCCCAGTCTATACTAGGCTATGGAGTGAGACACTGGGTTTTAAAAAAGAAAAGAAAATCTTAGGGACTGGGGTCTGAGTAGCTCAGTGGTACTTAGGCTCTGGCTTCGGCCAGCACCAGCTTCCACCCCGAGGCCGTTCTGTCTCTGCCAGGTTTGTTTGTTTGTTTGCTTTTGGTGTTAGTGATACTGGGGATTGAATTTGGGGCTTTGCCTGCTTGTGGAATATACCCCACTGCTGTCCTCTGCCTTTTCACCCCACTCCCTAAATTATTGAATGTTATTACATGGGAAGGGCATTGAGGCGTTTTTCCACGTTACATTTTTACTTTTCCGCATGTGGGGAGTGGTTCTCCCCAGAAGAAATGGAGTGGAGAGATCGGAGCCCTTGAGCTCTTCCCGATGCTGTCCCCAGGGTCAGCCTGGAGTTGACTGCTGTGCAGACGCTCTCAGAATGTCACAGCGGTCCTCTAGGATGAGGGTCTGGTGACCACTGCTCCTCTCTGCACTTCCCTATACCTAACGCTCGTACTGAGTGTTGTCTTCTAACACATCTCCTAACCCTTTGAAGTTGTGTAAGGGTGTACACCAGGATGTCATTACAGTACGTGTTGCCATTCCTTGGAGGTAGATTAGAAAGAGTTAGTATAGTTAGAATATACATTGTTAGGACAAACACATTTTTTAAAAATTTTATTAAAAACACCTTTTATACAATATAGTTGGGTCATATTCTTTCTCCTCCCCCATGTCTTCCCAGGTGCTTCTCACTTCCGTACCCACTCAACTTCATGTTCTCTCTCTGTGTCTAATAAACACAGGGTCTGTTTATCTCTTAAAGCCAACAGAAAGCTGGGCAGTGGTGGCGCACGCCTTTAATCCCAGCACTTGGGAGGCAGAGGCAGGCGGATCTCTGTGAATTCGAGGCCAGCCTGGTCTAGAGAGTGAGTTCTAGCACAGCCAGGGCTACACAGAGAAACCCTGTCTCGAAAACAAAAAAAACAACAGAAAAAAAAAATCACATAAACAGACTAAAAATAAATCAGTAAGACAAAAAAAAGCACAGCAACAAAAACCAGGGAGTCTGTTTTGTGTTGGCCGACTGCTCCTGGACATGGGCCTGCCCTGGAGTCTGGTTGGTACACCCCGGGACAGTTCATAGAGAAAACGGATTTTCCCTCTGCCAGTGGGCTATCGATTGCAAGTAGCTTCTTGGAGGACAAAGAAATTTTTGTTTGTGTGTTTTTGCTATAACCATCTTTTGGGCCTGCGAGATGTCACAGTGGGTGAAGTTCTTACTGTGCAAGCCTGCCGGCGGCCTGTTTGGTCCCCGGAACCCACAGAGATGGAAGGAGAGAAGGGCCCTCACAGAGTCCTCTGACCTCACACGCAGCCTGGCGCCTGTGTGTGCACCACCCCACCCTACCCCACACGTGATCAATTGAAACAGAACATGGAGATCCCTCGCAGTCGTCTGTGGTACACAGTCACTGCCCTTGTCCTGAGGACGTGTCCTGTGTTGTGCCCCGGGGAATAGGAGGGTCGGAGCGTGGAGTGGAGGTCGTAACAGGATGCTGCTCTGCTTTTGTCTCCTCAGTTTCCATCCGTGCTCAACAGTCATGGACCCTTCACTCTGTCGAGCCTGGACGGACCTTCCACTCCTGGCCCGTTTTCTCCAGACCTACAGAAGACATAACCCATGCAGTTGTGGACTAAGAGACCAAGGAGCTAAGCAACAGAGATGTCCATCATGGTTGGGTTTGAAATGAGGGCAGGTTCTGCAGTGCTCGTACAGACTGTTGTAATTTTCCCATGGCCTGTCGAAGGCCTTGTCAGGATTCCCTGAAGTTGGACTGTATAAAAATGCCTTAATTGGAGTCCAAACTCCACCTCACTTCTTTTTTAAAAGGTTGTTGTTATTGCTGTTTTTTGTTTATTTTCTTAAGCTTTGTGCAAAAAAAAAAAAAAAATTGGTCTGTTGGGGTTTAGCTGTGTTTTGCAAGAAATTTCCAGAACAAAGTTACTGATCCTACATGTTAGGACTCTTTGGCCAGGGAAAAAAAAGTATGCTTAGAATCTGTTATTTTTAAAAAATACTTGTTAGCTGTGTATGATGGCCCACCTCTGTGATCCCAGCACTTGGGAAGCTGAGGCAGGAGAACACCAAGGGTTGAGGGCCAGCCTGGGATATATATATATATAGAGAGAGAGACTGTCCCAAAAGGATAAAAATACTACTTCAAGGAAATTGGTAGTCTGTTGAATGACTAAAAGGAGCCGCTCATGAACAGTGGGAGAAAGAATCATTCCTGTTCTTAGGAGTATAGAGTATTACCACGGGGAGGCTCTGTTTTCCTGTGAGCTCTGACATGATGGCTCCATAGAAAGGCATCTTGTTTGCCCTCATCCTGGGTGGGATCTCTGTGCTGTACCTGTGATCTCGTCTGAACCTGTCAACAGGCCCTGGGTTTTTTTTAACACTCAGGCTCTGAAAGCTCAGTTTTAATGTGGGTTTTGGGGCATTCCATGAAAATACAGGACCCCCACTTCAGGCACAGACCTCTTGTCTGCTCTCTGAGTGGTGTGGTTCTGTATCTGTGCAGCACATCTCAGAAAATGATGATTGTTAGGAGAATAGAGTTGGGGTTTGAAAATTGAATATTGGAAGCAAGCAAAAAGGTTCAGTTGAAAACCCTGAGACACAAGGAGAGGCCTTTCCCAGCCAGAAGACACCCAGAGTGACGGCCCCCTTTTCTTCTTGCTAATTTTATCCACTTCTGTGTGCACTCACTCTGTGTCCTTTTACATCTGAGGTCGGAGGATGAAGCAGTGTTAGGGTGTAATCAGGAAGGTGGGCTTGAAAGTGAAACTTTCCCGTCAGTCAGGAGATGAAGGTGTGCTCATTTCTTTCCAAAAGTGGTTTAAATTATGGAGGATCAGATTGCATGTGGCCATTCTCATACATAGGAATATGCTTGTTAAATTAGTAATGAGAACTGCTTCTCATTACTCTGGCTGCCTTGTCATATTGTCACATTTATGAAATACTGTGTGGTAAGTCAGAGCCAGGAGTACGCAGGGACATTGATCTCTCAGACTGAATTGAGAGCAGTCTCAGAGTGGAATCTTGAAAATTTTGACTCCTAAAGTCCAGAACTAAATTAAATTACACGCCCCACCCTCCACCCATTAAACCCAAGACACGACCTGAGTGGAATGACGTAGGGGCTGGCAAGCTCAGAATGACCCACAGATACAGAGTGGCGTCTTTCAGGTGCACAGCACTGACTGTCCGGTGCAGAGACGCTGAAGTACAGAAGTGTGTGCTGGCTGGGTAGTGAAGGGCGGCAGTGAGCTCCCGCTTCGTGGGGCAGTTGGAGACCTGTTACTGGTTGCTTTGTGGTTGTCTACATGTTCTGTTCTCATGACGTGCAATAGTAGGGTTGAAAGGTCGTGTTCAGAGTGAAGGGAACAGGCACTGTAACGCGCTTTCTTCCCATGTGGAATATTTAGTTTGCATGCATATTTGGAATTACCCTCAGCAGCACTTTGTAGTAATTTAGTGGGTTAATATAGTGTGTACTAAGTAAATATTGAGAGTAGACCTACCTAGGTGTTTGAAATTCTAGAAAACATAAAAAAGTTTTATCTTCCTGAGTTAAAGGAGAAAAGCCATTGGTTTATTTTCACAGATGATATATTTGATAACTTGCTGTTTTTAGCACAGAGGTGCCATGGATCCAAGGGCACCATTGAAACTCAGGCTGGGTGTGGTAGCACAGGTCTGTGATCCCAGCACTTGGGAAGTGGAAGCTGGAGGATCCAGAATCAGGGATGGTCTCAGCTACGTAGTGAGTTTGAGACTAGCTTGGACTACATGAGACCCTGTCTCGAAAAACAGAAGCAAAAAACTCAGAGCAACTTTGTAAGAAACCATGAGGCCTTGGGCAGTAGAGGGACCTGCTTTCTTCTTGAAGTGAGTGAATTCGAAGAAGTGTGTGTGTGTGTGTGTGTGTGTGTGTGTGTATCCTTTTTAAAGTCAGTTTATAACCTTGCTGTATGTGTGAGGCAGACATTTCTTCCTGTAGACTACCTCCTTCCTGAAAAAGTCTGAGCTTTGTATGGTTTGAATAACCATAGAATTCTTAGCGTCCACAGGTCAGTATTCAGGGGAGATTCTGTACCTTCAGCTCACATCTGGCATCCACGCCCAGTCATTTTGCCAGGGCAAATGGTGCTGGGCATCAGTAGACAGAGGCAGGGGAGATGAGCAGGTTGTCAGGGGTTGAGACATCTTCTGAGGCCTCTTGGCTTTTCTTCTGCTCTGGACCATCTCTGCTCAGCTCAGTGACTGAAGGTGTAAGAGTCGGGGTTTCAGGGTCCTGGGAAGGCCTGGGTTTGGAGAGTCTGCTGGTTTCCTTGGTTTTCTGTGGCTCAGTGCGGTGCCCCACACCCCTGTGTATACTTCCCTGGATGCATTTTCACCTGATCTGTACTTTTCTCTTACTCATGCTGATTTTTTTAAATACAAAATTAAAATGTCAGGTCTAACTTAAGTGATCTTTTAATGACTTCTCATAATATTATTGTGATGTTACAGTCCTTGTAGTCTATGTGTTTGAATAAGGGTAGACATTTCCACTGATTAAAAAAATATGTAATATATAATTGAATCTAAAAGCCCTCAGAAGGCCATCATTAAGCTTCATTGAGTTAAAATATAAGTTTATTTTCCCTTACATTTTAACAGTTAAAATATAAGTGTAATTTTTCCCTCTGTGGTTTTTGTTTTTGTTTTTGAGATAGGATCTTTCTATGTCACCCAGGCTGTCTGTGAACTGAATCCCAAATGCTGGCATTTACAAGTGTACACTACCAGGTCTGACTGTTTTTTCAAATTTTGGTGGAGAAAGCAAGGCCATGAACTTGGATAGAGTACTGGATTTTTCTTCTTAAACTGGAAAATTCCTTTCAGATTTGTATTCTGTACTAGAGATCAAAAAAGGCAGGAGTGGCTGGCAGGTATACCAGAGGCTTGGCCTTCATGGCGTAATGCCAGCTGCTGATGTTACCACAGTCTTTTGTTCACCTTGGCCTTGTGCTGGGTGAGGTCTAGTACTGTTTTACTGAGGCCTGTGATTTTCACATTCTGAAAGGCAGCTTTATGTGGTAATGTCTTAAGCACCATTGAGACCCTCAATAGAATCGTAGAAGAACAGTTGGCAGTCTCCTGGAACACACACCTTGATTAGGAAAAGGTTTTCTTTTGCGTTTATTTTCTTTTTTGATTTTGGAGACTGGGTCTTAGTCTTTAGTCTAGGCTGGCCTCAAACTCTTGGCAACCTTCCCGCCTTGGTACCCCAAGTCCTGGCATTATGACTGTAAGCTGCTGTTCGGCACAGTAGACGTTTTTCAACACAGAAATTTCTCCCCAGAATTCACTCTGTTAACATGACAGTCACACTGTGACATACACAGTGAAGGGTTAGCATAAGAAATAAATGCTGCATAGCATCCAGGCCCGCTGAGTCCTTCCCGCGCCCCGGCAGATGACTCGAGAATCAAGCACTGTCCTAAATCACTGACTCAGCATGAAGTTGCTGTTTGATTCTCAAATACAGACTTTTTTTTTTTTAACATGGAAAATTCTAGCTTGAAATTTTCTGGAGCTTTGTCATAGCTTTTTCCAATTTCCCATTAATTCTTTCTCATGGGATTCATTCCCAAATGCCTTCTGGATTCCCTGCACGTCCTGACAGCTGTTCCTTTTCATCTCTGTGTTACGCACGACTGACAGTTTTATTTTTATAGTCTTCTTACAGACTTCTGTGACTTTATGTTATATTTTACCAACAGCTTCACAATTACATCAGGTTACTTGACGATGCAGTATATGCCAGCTTCCGCCTTCTCGCTGGATTGTAGATTGCTGTTTTTGTTGTGTGTGTGTGTTTTTTTTTTTTTTCATTTGGGACACTTAAGCAGGTGAAGGAACATTTTACTCAGTGGCTTGTCCTGTTTATCACTTATTTACTTCATATGTGTCATTCGCCTGTGCCAAAAACTGGGAGTCATGCCATGGTGCCATGCTTTGGCTTGGAAAGGTGTGGAGACAAGTGCAGGCCTGAGCAGAAACCTGGGGCTGGGAATGAATTTCCAGACCTACAGGATGGAGAGTGTTGATGCTGTGGTCTGCGGAGCGGGTGGGGATGTGAGGGGGTGGGAGCGGGGTGCGGGTCTCTATGGATTTGAGCGGCTAAGTGTTCTTGGACACACAGCGCTGGGAAGGGACAGACACATGATCTGTCTCCGGCAGACACGCCCAGATGCTGGCTTCAGTGGAAAGCGCTTTGTTAGTTTTCGTCTGGGTCTACTGTTCCCAGTGCGGGCGCTGTCCCATCATTCTCTTACATTATCAGAACTACTTACTGAAGGCGCGGTCTCCATCTCTGAGCGGGATGCTTATGGGTGATGGTGCGTCGTGTGCTCCGGGGAACTTGTCGCGATCAGAGTCATGTCTTCACCTGTGAACAGCAGATGGGAGAGGTCAGTTGTCATCGTGGTGCGAGTGTCCCCAGCAAGTGCTCCATCTGAAGCTGACAGTCCTTCAAGCTGCCTCGCTGTTGCTGAAACAGAATGGGACACGTGGCTTGCTTGCCAGAAAGAAGCCATGTCTTGGGTACTGCTGTCTGTAGTTAGCCCTTGTGAAAGATAGAAAGGCAGAGTGGCTTGTAGGAGAGTGACGGTCTGCTCACGTGATTTGACGTGATTCTGTGGTGCTGGGGACAGAACCGGGACCCTCATGCATGCTAAATAAGTGACCACTACTGGACTACATCCCTAGCAACAACCTCCTCCATAACTAAATGACAGCTTTCACCAGGAAATTCCTGGGGATCACAGACAGTGTCTTGAATATTAAGTGTAATGAGCATGGGGAAGTTTCATGAAGTTAACTTGTCTTTGAAGTACTTACCTGGGAATCGAGCACATTTCTAAGTCCTCCTGAGGTTCTGGCTGAGTACATCTCTCTTTATATACTGCCATGTTGACCCAGGGCATGTGACTCTTTCCGTGAGAGGCACATGTATCCCTTAGGATGACTTTTGTTCTAAACCTAATAAAGGAAACCCCTCACTGCTGCACCCACAGGTGTCACCTTTTAAAGACAGTGCCTTGTTCGGTTCAGTTTTTGTTTTGTTTTGTTTTTTCAAGACAGGGTTTCTCTGTGTAGTTTTGGTGCCTCTCCTGGATCTCGCTCTGTAGACCAGGCTGGCCTCGAACTCACAGAGATCCGCCTGGCTCTGCCTCCCGAATGCTGGGATTAAAGGCGTGTGCCACCACCGCCCGGCCTCAGTTCAGTTTTAAATGCATGGAATCATAGGCCTTACAGACCATTGCCGGTGTGTTAGGGGCCCGATGCTTAGACCACTCCCAACAGTCTTCCCCTGCAGACGTCTGTCCATGCAGCAAGGGGAAGGACATCTTTCCCAGCGCTCTTTGAATTTCTGTTTGCTTTCATGTAAGATTGCTCCTAGCTTGGCTGGGTGGTTTCTCAGGAGGTGTCTAGGGTGTAAGTGGAGGGAGGCCTCCCTGCTTGTCGGCATCATTTCCCCTTAAGCCCTATCTTTTAGCATTAGCAGGAACCTCAAAGGGGTCAGGCTGAAGGGTCTCAGCTTTGCTGTGCTCCCGTCTTAGTAAGGCCCACTGATTCTCATCCCTCCAGGAGTTGTGAGCTGTGCTCATATAGCCTGGAATCTCGTTGATAAGTTGAGAGGGAGATGGGGTGCCTGGCAGCTGGCTCACAGGTCCTGCCGATGGAATCATTCTGTGCACTGCTGTTAAATCACTTGGCACTTTCTCGGGATCTATATTAGCACTGTTTGCTTGTTTGTTGTCTTTTGTTGTTTTTTTTTTTTTGAGACAGTGTCTCACTGTGTAGCTCTGAGAAACTCGATGTGTGGACCAGGCTGGCCTTGAATTCACATAGCTCCTCCTGCCTCTGCCCCTAAGTACTGGGATTAAAGGCATGCGCCACCATGCCCAGCTATTTTTGTTTTTAATAACTGGAAGCAGTTCATGGTTATTTTGCTTGATTTTTTTAGCTTCAGGATATTGAGGGTCAAGGAAATATGGTTTATTTCTTATTTCTAGCTTTGGGAACTTAGGAACGTCTGGAGAAGGAAGGAATGGATTTCCTGATGAGCCTTCCTTCCAGGCTCGGTAAGGCAGCCTCTTTCAGCTAGAATGTAAGTGACTCACAAGCTTTTAATATTGTGCTCTTTCGACATGTATGATTTTAAAGATGACTTGCATTGGTAGATTGCACTGTAAATTTGAAAAGTGTACAATTGCAAGGGGTTTTAGGTGTTGCTCTCCTTCCTTGTTTATTTCTGTTATGTCGGGGACACAGTCCCTTCTGAGACATTTCATTGTTTGCTTGAGGACAGCATTACCAGTGGCCGCTGTTGGCCAGCATCTGATGCTGCCATTGCTGGCACGTGTGTTAGGACAGCATGCATGCTTCAGTCTTCCCTGGTGAGCCAGCGTCCCTGGGACCTGCCACAATGCTACTCAGGCTGAAAACTCACAGAGGAGCTTTGCGTTCCTAGAGGCCTGCTTAGAGGTGTGGCCCTGAGGCTCTTCCCTCTGCTTCTAGCAGTTTCCTTTAAATATAAAACTCTGTCTGGGACTGGTAGCACATCCCTGTAGAGCACCCATGGCAGGTGGCTCAAAACGGCTTGTAGCTCCAGCACTAGAGGATCTGACGCCCTCTTCTGGCCTCTGTGGGCATCTGCACAAAGATTGAACAAAAACATACCACCTTTTTTTTTTTTCTTAAAGAAGCTTTAGTTCATTTTGATACTGATTAATTTGCTTCTAAACATAAAATTTTGGGTTAAAGCAAGTTTCTGAGAATTATGTCCTTTATTCACCAAATGATTAAATTGACTTTTTTTTTTTTTTAAAGTAAGTAGGTTTTGTTTTTATGAGCTGGGTCTTGTCTTGCTTAGACTGATGTTAGCAAGTCTCTTCGAGTATCCACCTCCTGAGTAGCTGGGCCTAAAGGTACATGCTACCACATCTGGCTTAAATCTGCATTAGAGAACGACCTTATAATTTCCCATGAGTCCTACTAGGAACTTTTTAAAAAGACCCTCCTAGCTGGAGCTTCGCATCAGTTGGTAGAGTGACCACCAGCATGCCAGCCCACGGTTTGATCCCCATCACGTCACAAACTGGGAGCGGAGGTGCAAGCCTGTCATCCTAGCACTAGGAATGTAGAGGCAGGATGACCAAGAAGTTCAAGGTCAAGTGGCAAGTTCAGGACCAACCTAAGGTGCAAGACCCTTGTGATTAATGGGAACCAGCCATGGGTTACTTTACATTGTGTGTGCTAGGTGTCGTTGAGTCCCAGTGAACCTGGCAGTTGGCGCCACTGTAAGGTGTGAACATGATGTAAAAGGTAAATGACATTAAATAACAAACTCTTACTTTTCATTCAGTTCGTCTACAGTTTAGTGAAAAGCATGTGTTCTGCCATGGAGTGAGTGCAGTGTATATACCCCGGTGTGTACACAGCACAGGATGGGGCAGGGGGAGTTCCTGTGTATGTGAGTTGGGATGGATGGTGGAAAGGACTTGACAGGGTACTCCGCTCCTCAGAGGAACTGTTGCCTGTGCATCCACACCCCCCCCCCTTGCTTATTTTATTGAAATCTGTATCTCCTATTACTCAGTGTCACCACTTTGTCTAAGTAGATCTGTAGATGGGTGTAAGCGACACCTGCCCAGAAGAGCTGACAGGGCGATACTAATTACATGTCTTAATTTAGTTTAGTTTATATTAAGGAGACCTGCAAAGTATTACAATCACCTTTTGTTCTTTTCTGAAAAAGCAATTGAAAAGGTAACTGCTAACAGTCCTTAAAATTAACATTAGTTGTTGCTGCAGCTGGATGGAATGGGACAGACTGTGTCATTTCATCTAGCTACACAGTAGCACTTAACTGTAGAGGCAGTGGGGTGTTGTTTTAAGGCTGGTGAAGCCGGTGTGGAGTCAGGAGTGTAGGGAGATGGGGCAAAGGACGGACGAATGTGCACTTTGAGGGCTTTCTAATGCACTGCTGTTCCGAGACGAGGCAGCGGTCCACTGGGTGCATCTCCAGGCATTGCAGGACCACCCTGAGGAGCCAGTCAGGCAGGGGTCCCGCCTTCTGTTGCTTCTAAGCTTTCTGCAAAAGCTTTGTTAACTTCCATAGAGATCATGTGTATTTTAAGAAAATGATACATTTTTTAAAAAACTTTTATGTAAGAACTGACAGAGGGATTTGCTTGTATGTGGGAAGCTGGCTTTAAGAAAGCACTCTGGCATGTTTACTACAAGTCCAGAGCTATGGAGATCTGTTTATAGATATATGTGCAACTAGATATGGACAATTGTATTTTTTTAAAATAAATATTTTTAACAAATGACTTGACTTGGTTATTCCCTGCCCCCCCCCCCCAGTCACTGGTATTTTCACCCACACTAACTGGGTAAGGAATGAATTCAGCGGGTGTTGTTGAAATCTGGTCTTCGGCTGCTTGACGTGTCTCCATGGAAACATAAAGCCCAGGTCAGAAGAGGTAGTGAAGAGGGTGATTGTAAAATGATTGCTGGCGTGGAAGAAACTGGGGGAACAGATGGGCTGGAAACACTTTGTCATGTGAAATTTTTTGTTTTTGTTTTGTTTTTCAAGACAGGGTTTCTCTGTGTGACAGCCCTGGCTGTCCTGGAACTCACTCTGTTGACCAGGCTGGCCTCGAACTCACAGAGATTGATCCGTCTGCCTCTGCCTCCCGAGTGGTGGGATTAAAGGTGCGCGCCACCATGCCCAGCTTGTCATGTGAAATCTTTAAAAATTTTATTGCGTTGATTTACTTTGTGTCTGGGTATGTATGTGCAGGGGTACAAGTGTGCCACAGTCGGAGGGCAGCTTCGGGAATCAGGTTTTGTCTTCTGTTGTGTGTCCTGGGGATCAGACTCGGGTCAAAGGTTTGGTGGCACCTCCTCTATTCTCTGAGCCATCTTTCTGGCCCTGAAGTGTGTGTGTGTGTGTGTGTGTGTGTGTGTGTGTGTGTTTTACAACTTCAACGTTTTGGAAATGTAGAACTCTAACGAGATGCATTATTTCGGCCTTTGGATTGTGTGTGTTTTACAACTTCAATATTTTGGAAATGTAGAACTCTAATGAGATGCATTTATTTTGGCCTTTGGAATGAGCAGTCCTTGCTTATTTACACTCTCGCACCCTTTTTTTGTTTTGAAACAGGGTCTCATGTAGCTTTGGCTGGTCTGGAACTTCCTATGTAGACCTTGCTAGCCCTGAACTGTGGTCCTCCTGCCTCAGCCATCTGAGGTTACAGATAGGCGGCACTCCAGTGCCTGGCCTCCCTAGCCCCCTTCCCTTGTATGGCCTGTGAGGAGGGAATTGGAGACCAATTCATTCAGCAGTGAAATTGAGGCAAAATAGAATTGGCTTGAAATACCGTGGGGAAAGCGGGCTTAATAAATAGGCGACAAGATCATGTCAGAGAGAGCGGGTTCACATCCAGATGAAGGTACCAATGTAGCAGACGGCTGGCGGGCAGGCCGCAGGCCTGGGGAGAAGTCTCCTCAGGCAGTGCTTGACCACACAGTTGACGCACTGGAGGGCTCTCCTGCCTACCTTTCTCAAATGTGCTATTTAGAGTGGTCAATGGTCCCCTGAGCTCACCGTCTTACTTTTAGAACACCCAAAGTTCCAAGTGCTCCAGTGGAAAAGCCCGAGGAAGCCACCATTTCTGATCTGGCCCTTCCAACTGTTGACACTACTTTGGTGACCACCTGTGTTTACAGGGGTATCTAGTAACAAAAGTCCTCACACTGGGCCTCTTTGGGACTGGCTCTGTTAGGTGAGAGACTGTCTTAGTCAGGGTTTCTATTGCTGTGACGAGACACCGTGACCACGGCAACTCTTATAAAGAAAAACATTTAATTGGGGTGGCTTACGGTTTCAGAGTTTAGTCTATTATGGTGGGACATGGTGGCCTGCAGGAAGACAGGGCGCTGGAGAAGGAGCTGAGTGTCCTACATTTTGACTTACAGGAAACAGGAAGTGGTCTGTCTCACTGGGCATGGCTTGACCATATATGAGCCCTCAAAGCCTGCCCCCACGGTGACACACTTCCTCCAACAAGACCACACCTACTCCAACAAGGCCACACCTCCTAATAGTGCCATTCCCCTTTGGGGACATTTTCTTTCAAACCAGCATGGAGACAATACTTGAGAGTCACAGGATCACACACTGATCATGACTACCCAGTGATACACTGACCAGGGTACACCTGCCTGCCACTAAAGGGATCATGAAGTGACTTCACTGGGCGACTCTCAGAAGGACTGTGGCGTATCATAGAGAAAGACTACCACAGGAGTGAAAATTTGAACAGCAGCAGCTCCGGGCAGATGCTGGGGATGCTACTGGGTTTAAGTGTGTTGATCCCATGTGTTTTGAACACACTGCTGTCGTTAACCAAAGCGCCTCTCCCGTCCGGCCCAGCGGTGCTTCGGTCCTGTTAACGACCTCTCCTTGAGATGCTCCTTGAGACGCTCTTCTTCGCATACCTCCCAGGAAACCACTCTGACCCTGAACTTGTCCCTACCTCTGGCCTCTCGTTTTCACCCTACTGCATTAGTCCCTTTCCCAAACCTCTAGTTTTGGAGGACCTCACGGGGTTCAAACTCTCCCAGTCCCTACAACCACTACCTAGACGATTTCATTTGGTCCCTTGGCTTTAAACACTGTAAGTTACGTAACTTTTATGTATGTTATAAACATCATAAACTGATGTGCAGAAAACTGTTTTTTAAAAAGACATGGCCTCACTGTGTAGCTCTGGCTGGCCTGAGCTATGTAAACCAAGCTGCCTTCAAACTCACAGGAGATCTGCCTGCCTCTGCCTCCTGAGTGTTGGCATTAAAGGTGTGTACCATCACACAGATCAGCCAATCTTATTTTTGGCAGGTATTCTTTAAATACGTATATTTTCTTCTTTTTTTTTTATGTATATGAGTCTTTTGCCTGCAAATGTGTGAGTGTATCACGTAGGTGCCTGGTGCCTGAGAGACTAGTAGAAAGTGTCACATCTCCTGGAACTGGAGTTAGAGCTGGCTATGAGTTGTCCTGTGGTGCTGGGAACTGCACCTGAGTCCTCTGGAACAGCAAGTGCTCTTAACTGCTCAGGCGTCTCTCTGGCCCTAACACAGCTCTTGAGTATTCCTGGGCTTCCAGTGTTGAGACTGTTACCGGCCGTCTCTGTCTGGACTGTGTTCCTAGGTTCATGGCATCCTTCAGAGAATTCAAGAAGCAGAGGTAAAGCAGTGAGATCTTGAGGAGCAGAGCGAGAGCAGAGTGGGCAGACGGAGCCAGGGAGGTGGCTCAGTGTGTAAAGGGGCTTCCTGCACAAGCCTGACAACTTGAGTCCAGATTCCCGGAATACAAGGAAAAGCCCAATTTATAATCCTAGCTCCCTCTACCCCAGCGGTTCTCAACCTTCCTATTGCTGTGACCCTTTAATACATGTCCAGATTCTTGCATGTGGGCGTGTCTGCAGGAGGGTAGACCTGCCAGGAGAGAGATGCCGTGTCTCAGTTCCTAAGGCCATCGGAAATACGTATTTTCCAATGATTGTAGGCCACCCCAAAGGGGATGTGACCTCCCCCCTGTCCCCCCCCCCCCCCCGTTGAGAACCACTGTTGTACCCGGAGATGGAAGGCTAAGGCCAGAGAATCCACCAGAAGCTTTGGGCCAGAAAGCTTGGCTTATGCAGCAGCAAAGAGCCCTCCCTTCGCAGACAAGATGGAAAGGCAGGGACCAGCACCTGGGGGTTGTCTTCTGACCGCCACAGGCATGGTATGGATGTGTGCACTGCACATGTCCTTTCCCATGATGCATCCGATTTTAATCTCTTACATTCATTCAATCAAGCACAGGCATGATGGTAAGTAGGGATTTTTCCTAAGAGTTCATTTTGGGCATAGTTTGCCTTGTTGTACATACACTCTAAACCAGTCCAGGCCAGATGGACTCATTGCCTCACACTGATTTCTGCATACTGACACTGCTCTCTGTATACTGCATGGCTTGAATTATTCAGTAGTCCTCAATTTCTATGGGGAAGAAAGGCCTTGACACAGTATAAAATTTTCCTCTATGAAAGGCACAAAACTTCAATGAGCTTCTTCTTCTTCTTCTTTTTTTTTTTTAAATTCTCAGCACTGCTTCTGCACCTTGTGGATGTCAGTAAAGAAAAATAGGATGTCCATTTCAGTCTCCTTCCCAGATACTTTCCCAGATACATTGCAGGGTGTCCTTGGCCATAAAAGGGGCGTTGCTAAGGGTTGCTAGGAAGCTCCAGGTCAGCGTTACCAGGTACTTTAGGGAGTGGTGTGCAGCTCCATGTTGGCAGAGTCTTCCTGGTTAAGTGTGGTGCGTATAGTCAAGCTAAGAGGAGTCTTCCCTACGCATGCCCGCCTCAAAATGGCCTCATACCTCGGCACAGGGCAGACGCCTTGGACTTCTCTGGGACTGCCACCTCTCTCTCATACACACTCAGTCCACCAGCAAATCCCGCCAGTTTGACCTTCACATTGAATCTGCTCTCACCACTCCCACTGCCACCGACGTGGCCCAGGTCACTCACGTCTCTAGCCCTACAATTGTGCCTGAGCTGATCTTGTCAACTCAGCCACACAGTTTTCAGACAGCCAGAGTGACCATTTTAAACGCGGAAACTGTCCTATGTCACACTCTGTCAGTAACCTCATGTCCCCCAGAAACACCTGAGTTCCTACCTTGGTACATGGGATCTGGGCCCCAGCTAGCACATCGCCCACCCTGTTTCCTGCCCGCCCGTCGTCTTTGCAGTTGGTCCACACCAGCCTGCCAGCTGCTTCTCAGATTCTTTGAAGCACATTCCAGTTCACAAACCTTTCCCTCGCTGTAGCTAGCCTCTGCCTGGCAGGATATTCCCAGGTACCCAGTTGGCTTGCTCCTGTAGCACAAAGGCTGTCCTCTCGGTAAGATAGCCGGAGCATCTCTAGGCATTCCCATGCCTACCCCTTCCCTGCTTTTTCCTTACAGAACTCCGCCATCCTCTAGCATGTTATACATTTATTTGCTGTTTCCATGGTTTTGACCTTGCAGTCTTTGAGAGGCAGGGACTTCTCATTCACTGCTGAGACACTGCAGTGTCTAAGTGTCTGCTTTGAACGTGGTGAGTGCTTAGTCTTTTTTTTTTTTTTAATGAGTAAACCTCTGTGAACCGGGCCTGGAGCTCCGCTGGTGGATGCCTGCCTCCCGTGTGCACTCTGAGTTTGCTCCCCAGACCCACATAACCTGGCTGTGGGGAGGCACGCCTGTAATCCTACCACTTGGGATGTAGAAATAAGAAAATCAGGAGTTCAAGATAATTTGAACTACATAGTAACATCTAGTCTATCTTGGTCTACAGAAGACCCGCTTTAAAAAGAAAAAAAGACCTGTTTCAGCGGAGACGATCTCCCTATGAGAACACGCCTCTCGCAAAGGATCTCCTTCATCTCTCTCCAGAAGAGGAAAGAGGAAACACAAGAAAAAGCACCCGGTGCCGAGCCCCAATTCCTAGTTTATGGATGGGAAATGCCCAGGGTGCTGCAAAATCACCACAGTCTTTAGCCATGCACAAAAGGCAGTCTTGTGTGTCGGCTGCTCCACTGTCCTCTGTCAGTGCTTGAAAAGCAAGGCTGACGGAAGGATGCTCTTCAGGAGGAAGCAGCACTGAAAACACGTGACTCAAGATAAGTGGGAACCGTCCCAAGAAACACATTTTGAATATATATATACATATATATATATATATATATATATATATATATATATACACACACACATATGTGTGTATTATCCATATATATGGAAAGAAAAATATATGTGAAAGAAAAAAGATACATATAATGTATGAAAGAAAGAAAAAAAAACCCTTTATGTTACTGTGCCTGCCTTTAGGTGTGCTGGGGGTTAGATTCCCATGTCTGCAGAAAGAATCTGGGAACAGGGAGACTTCACGACAGTCTGAAATGACCAAAGGTTTTAGAGCCAGAAGTGTGGCTCTGTGGTAAGTGCTTGCCTAGAATGCATGGAACTCCCTAGCACTGCCCTCAACCCCCACATGTATACATACATACATACATGTGTACTTGTCATGTATGTATCACAGATATGAGGTGTGTGTGTGCATGTGTGTACACCATGTGACCCTATAAGAGAGACCTGTCTCTGGGAAGCATTAGACCATTTGAGCTTATGTATAAAGGGTCAGCTGCCCTTCATGATGGATGATGACACACTTACTAAGCTTAAAATATTTTATTTTAGGAAAGTATTTGATTTGTTTTAATTTATTTTCTCTATTAACACATCAATCGTCACCCATGTAGATATAACCAGTGATTCTTCTTTTTAAATCTGTATAAAAAGGATGTTTTCTTGAAAAACTACAAGAAAAATACAGCTGTGCTTTTCTCTTCGCCCAGGTCAGTTACTACAGTTAGATCGCACATTTCAATTTGCCTAGCATTGGGTGCTTTTGAAAGTATTCATAAATACAGTTAAAAGGATTTGCTTAGGCCATCAGTGTTTCAAAGTAGAGTTTGTTTGCATTGCAGTTTGTACCAAACGTGAATGGCATCTAAGCTGCTTATGAGGCTTGTAATAAAGGTAAAAACTTGAGCATGTTTGGCATGTAGCAAATACTCTATATACACTTAATTCTCTCAGAATTCCTGTGAGGTAGGGTGCTTTTAGAAATGCCACCATAGTAGTAAAAACAAGTGAGACTAGAAATGCCTGGGCGTGGGGCAGGGGGGTGGGACTGGTGGGTGGGTGGGGCCTGGGGCGGGGTCAGGTTGGGGTCCAGGTTCACAGCTAGAAGGTGAGGCTGGTACTGCTCTGTTGATGTGTGGTGTGTGAACGACAGCCCTTGGGACTACGGTCCACTCAGCTTTCACAAGAACACGTGTATATGCACAGAGAATGCACAGATAAACCCTTGACTGTAATGGGACATTTCATTCCTTCCAGAAGTCACTGTAACAGCCATGCCAGTGATTCCAGAAATCTTGCACTCAGCCTTGTCCAGGCTGGTGAGCCTGCATCCTTGAATTCTCTGTATTACTAACCCTCTGTGTTCTGCATGGAACTGGGAACTCCTGACAGACATCGATTTCTGCATACTGACACTGTTCTCTGTATACTGCATGGCTTGAATTATTCAGTAGTCCTAGATCTATGGGGAAGAAAGACCTTGACACAGTATAAAATTTTCCTCTATAAAAGGCACAAAACTTCAATGAGCTTCTTTTTTTTTTTTTTATAAATTCTCAGCGCTGCTTCTGCACCTTGTGGATATCAGTAAAGAAAAATAGGATGTCCATTTCAGTCTCCTTGTGCTTTCTGAACCAATTAACATTGCTCATTAGCAGTGAGATGCCGGCAAAACCATCTGTTCCGGGGGATGGGGAGAGCGCAGCCATGATGTGCAGCTTTGACCATTTCTGTACCATGGCTGACCTCGGACTACCCGCGGGCTGTCACCGAGCAGCTGAGAGGAGCCCGGCAGCATCCCGTTACTTAGAAACACCACCACCTTTGTGCCTCCGACACAGTGACCTCAGGAGCATCGCGCATGTAAGAAAGTGGCGTTTTGAGTTGTGCCTTTGCTTAGTTACAGGTTAATTTAACTTGAAATCATGGCTGCACGACTTTCAGAATGAAAATTTAACAGTCAGCTTTTCTAAAGCTGGTCTGGGTTAGCCTCGTGTGCCACTGACCTGGGGGTCTCAAAAAAAGACTCAGGATTTCCTTTGCTGTCTGAGGACACACGGGAACTCCTGATTTCTGCAGGGGGAATGTTAGGGACTTAGGATCATGGGTAAGGGAAGAACACATAAATCCTTTTCAACATGCTAGAGGGTTTTGATTAATTTAAAATATATCTAAATATATCTACATCTAGCAATGATTAAGCTTTATGATTTCAGCATTTTTTTTCAACTAAAAGTGATCTCAAGCCCAGCATTTAGCCCATGCACAGGGTGATGAGTGGAGAGATGTGAGCTGTCTTTGGTCCTCCCATCTGGTTACCATGGACTACAAAGTCTGAACCAGACAAGACGATACTAAAGTGCTAGGCAGGTGCTTGATTTGTTCAGGGAACACTCAGGGACCAGGACTCAACTTCCTGGCTAAGTATGAAAGGAAACGACGTAAGCAAGGTGGCAGGAGAAACCTCCGCAACCCTCGGCCTCCTGTGGCAGTTTGATCACCCTGGCGCTCAGGAGGCTGAGGTCTTCACCTCTGGTAGCTCTCAGAGTTCTCCAGGCCTAGGGGTTTGTCTTGGGTAAGAACTACGAAAGAACACATAGAGAGCACAGGTAGCAGATGTGGGCGGCCATGGCTTGCTCCGCAACAGGTCACTCTAGAGAGTGAACAAGCTTTTTGTGGCTCTGCTGTTCTGGGGCTCATTAGGGTACACACACACACACACACACACACACACACACACACACACACACACACACGG